TGAGAGTTACAGAGAGAGACAGGAGCAAAGAGCTCCATTCAAGTCTCCAAGGTGGGTAGCAGGGACACAAACAGGCCAGAAAACAGGACATAAACCATGGTCTACAAGGTGATAACTGTGGTCCTGGTTTTGCAGGCAGCGACATAACCCATCATGTCACAAGGCTGGCCCCAACACTTAAGATTTAAATGAGGAGCCAGTGTTGTGGCAGTGTGTTAAGACACAGCTTGCAATGCCAGCATCTCTGAAGCACCAATTCGAGTTCCAGCTGCTCTGCTTCTGACCCAGCAGATAACATGCCTGCAAAAGCAGCAGACTATGACTAACGTACTTTGGCCCATGCCACGAACAAACCTGGGAAACTCAGAGGGAGTTTCTGGCTCTGGATTTCAACCAGGCATGCCACAACCATTGAGACCACCTCGGGAGTGAACCAGCAAATGGAAGCTCTCTTTCTCTGTCTCTCCCTCTCTATCACTCTGCCTTTCAAAAACAAGGAAAATACATCTTTAAAAAAAAAAAAACTGAGATAATGCATCCAATGTGGCTGGCAAGCAGAGAATGTTCAGTATCATTTTATTATGCTTTTTAAAAATATTTACTTATTTTTATTTGAAAGGCAGGCTGACAGAGAGAAGGAGAGAGAAAGAGATCTTCCATCCACTAGTTCACTCTCCAGATGGCCGCAATGACCAGAGCTGAGCCAATCCAAAGCCAGGAGTCAGGAGCTTCTCCTGGGTTTCCCATGTGGGTTTAGGGGTCTAAGCACTTCACTGTTTTCCCAGGCACATTAGCTGGATTGAAGCAAAACAGCCAGAACTTGAACTAGTGTTCATATGAGATGCCAGCACCACAGGCAAAGGATTAGTTTGCTATGCCACTGTGTTGCCCCCACAGCTGGCTTTTTTAAATAGAAAAATTGTTTATTGGCTTATCTCAAATGGCCTGAATAAAACCAGCTGCCATGTCTATGTGCCTCTGGTATAAAAGGAGTAAATCCAGTGAGGTAACAAAAATAAAAAAAGGTGACTTTCATAAACTTAACCATCACAAACAGAATAGTGCTAAACAGAATTCATTTCTGCAGAGGAGAATCTGGTGTCACTTGGAGGAAACCTTAGAGGAAAAAAATCAATAGAAAGGCAGCAGGAGATGGATCTAACATTTATTTATTTAATGCTTATTATATAATTTCAATGAATCCTTAAAATTTGGAAAATTGATATTACTTTCATATAACCTAAAAGGAAAAGCAATTAAAGCTCTGATAAGAAATTTGTACTGGATCACTTAGCTAATAAAACTACACCTGATACCAGAACTATGTTATTTTGATCCCCAAAGTTATTTCTGCTAAACTCTGATACCTATTTTAAAGCTAGGAGGTAGGCCTATCCGTTCAGACAAGGACAGCATGTCCCACGGCACAGTGCCTGGATCTCATGTTAGGCTCCACTCCTGGTTCTTGCTCCCTGCTAGTATGGACCCCAGGAAACAGCCGGGATTGCTCAAGTAACCGCACTCCTGCCACTCACATGGGAGATCTGAGCTGCGTTTCCAGCTCTTAGCTTTGGCCAGGGTATTCGAAAGACAAGAGAATCTTCAGGAAAAACCAGCTCTTCCCTTTTCCACAGTTGTAAGTAAGAAGGCAATCATTATCTATGATAGCAAATGGACTTAGCTCTTTGAAACACAGCTGGGACTAAAATGAAGGAAAATGCATGTCTGGATATCTGGACTGCAAGCTAAATTCAATAAACTTATTTTTCTTTATGCAAACTTCTTTGCTCAAGGCTAGATATTTCTCTAGCCAGCACCAACCCTTCTAGAGGAAGTGAAATTGGAGAAAAAACAACAGTCAGGTCAGAGTAGCAAAAAGACAGCTCCTTAAATAATGGGAGAGAAACAGAGCCTTGCTTCCCCCACTCATTCATAAACATATGCAAGTTAGCAGTTTTGGTTCCTAAACTACAGAGAGCATGTGGTTAAGAGAAAGCAGGAACCCACCCCCTTTATCTTTCCAAGGGTAATACTTTAACTAAAGACTGAATGCTAGGAAACAGAAGAAGTCTAGAAAGATACTTGGATTTCCGTCAGGCTTGTTAAAAACTGATAATCAAGGTTATAGACTACCTAATCTTATGCATTTTGTTGCAGAAGCACAAAGAAAGCTCCCAATAGGGAGCCTAATAGCTTCACATTATAATTTTATTTCAAAAGTTATTATCTACACTCAAGTTCCGATCTCCATAAAAAGGACATAGAAAGAAACCAAAGGAAGCCAGTGTGACATTGTTTTTAAACTCAGAAAACTTCCTATCGCAATTCTTCACCAAAGCAACTCTACAGTATCTACACTAAGAGACTAGCATCAGTAGCTAACTGTGCACAAATAAGTGTGACTTCAGACCCGCTGGGACCAGCATTTGTACATTCTTTCTCAGAGGCTTAGAATCAGTTTTACCTATCAGGTCAGCATATGTTACAGGCTTTTAGATAATACATTTATATTCTGTTTGCTGGGCCAGCAACTGACAAATTTTTGTCTATAAAGGGCTAGGTGATAAATATTTTAGGCTTTGCAGGTCATACAGGCTCTGCACAACTCGGCTCTAACTTTGGCATAAAAGGTAACATAAAAGTGAAGTGTCTATGGATGTATTCTAATAAAACTTTATAGAATGGTAATATATCCAACAGGTAAAATTCAGTCATAGTTCATGCACCTTTGTATTATACCAATGTAAAAGCAAACGGAACCGCTCCATAAAAAGATATCCAACGGAAACAGTGACACCCCATATGCATGTGTTTCTTCCTATGTAAGTCTGGAACTGCTATAAAGTCCAGGATAACAAATTCACTTAAATTCCCTGAATCGTTCACTGTTCAGTCATCAGGCACGACAATGCTCCAATTCTGTCATGACAGAACACGCGTCCACATTTGTTCCACCCACCTTCCCCCATGCCTCCACCCTCCCCATCCTAACCAATGGTCCTGATGGGTGTGCATCCTTGCCCACTATGCAATCAACATCAAAAATATTTTGAAAAACAACATGCTTCATATAATCAATAAATGCTCCAAAACATGTTGAACAGTGTGGTTCAACAGTGACATTTACCAGTGAAAGCAATCTTATAGTACTGAGGAGCCTCTCTGCCTATGCCAGGAATTTGAACCATTCTCAAGATCAGCTCACATTATTAAGAAAGAAAGAACATCAGCCAAAAACAGAAATTTGGTACCATCGCAGAGGAAGGAGAGCAAACTGGACAAATTTGGACAACTACCCCAGCAAACGAGGACAGCAAAAATGGGGGTGAATGGAGACATGAGGTAGACTATGTTAGCCAGCGGACATTGGGAGGGTTGCCTCAGCCTTGGATTAGCAAAATTGATAGCATTTCAGAACATTAAAACCACTTGATCAGAACCCTCAGAACACACATCACGACGGGATCCTGGGTTGATACTGGGTGGTGGTTCCCCATCCCTGGGTACTATGACATTTGGGGGGCTGGGTATAGCTTCACCCTTTCTCTCTCAGAGATAAGAAGAAATAGAGAATTTGGAAACAATGAAAAAGAAAAAGCAACATTAAGCCTTTTGGGATATGTCTCTAGGAAGCATTATCTTGAATTTCATATTGGGAACTTTGCCTCCCACTCATTGTGCTTTTTTTTTTTCATAGCATCTGTAGCCTATTTCAAGAGTGGGAATGAAAAATAAACTCCTTTCAGGCCATTTACAAGAAAAAAAAAAAAAGAAAATTCACCTCTTAATGAGCTATTAAACTCCTATGTCCACATGTCCTTTCAAAAAAAAAATACCATATTATTTCAACTTGTAATCCAAGTAGGAACTCCCACACCCTTAGGGGTTTACTCTTTATTATTAATGTGTAGCAGATTATAAAATAACAATTATCAGCATTATTTTGATAATGCATACTGCATATCTTAGAGTATTTAAGATTGTGGCAAAAATCTAAGATCACCTGTCCTCAAACTTGTACTACGCTTTATTTTCTTAGAGGGAAAAGGTAAACTTTACTGTCTTAGAGGCAACAAAAGTGTTAGGTGACACCTGTGCTACTAACCTTTCATCTCAGCAGGAAGTTTGTAGCTATTTATGAGGCAGAAAGCTTGTCCTTCCAGTTATGGCAAGAGCTACTTGGATCTCCTGAGAGGTTTGTAAAAAGCTCTGTTAGCGATTCCGTGTTATCCTGCCCTTGTCAGATCTTGGTCATGTCTAAGGTATTGCAGGAGAGAGAGAGGTAGAGAGAGAGAGAGAGAGAGAGAGAGAGAGAGGGAGAGAGAGAGAGAGAGGAAGGAGAGGGAATTCTTGGAAGCTCGCAGGTCTTCTGACCCCAGCAATGGAAAAGCATGGTCCGGGGGTCCTGAGAATTTCGCCTCTGTCAGCCTGGCCAACAAGATTTCCTAGTGGCAAGCAGCCTTCTCCAGTCCAGCGCCCCTCAATTTTTTTTTTCCCAACGTGCTCCTCCCACGTCTAGAATTCTGACAGCCAAGACTTGGCTGCTCTCAGGACCCTCACTCCCGCTGCAGAAAGCGCCGCGGCTCGACAGCCGGAGTTCCCACTGGGTCTTTCACCTCTCCTGTCTAGTTCCTCCCCACAAACCGGAGGGAAGGACGCTCGCGGGGGCGTGCAGGGGATCTCGGCTAACCCTGCCTTTTCCTCTAAGGCTCCGGCACACACAGAATCCCATCGCCCCTCGCGTACCCTGGTCCCCGCGGGATGCGCCATCCTCCGGCCGCGTGAGGAGAGCGTGCCGCCTCCAAGACCCCCAGAGTTGGCCTCACTGCTTCCCACCTTAGACCCCTCAAACGCGACCGTTCAGAGGCGATGCACCAAAGAACTTTCCCAGTGACAGCCGGCATCCCCGCAAGCCCAACCTTCCCTCCCTGCCTCCTCTCTCAGGTTCCCTTCCCACCCTACTGAAAGGCGAGTTTGTAAGACGAGGGAAGGGGCTCTACCTGAGCAGGCCGAGCCGTCGGTCTCCGAGAACCGCGTGGGAAGATGAGGGACCACCTTCTCAAATCCTCACAATTTGCGCCTCAGGATTCCTCGTCCCCAAAACAGGAAGAGACGATGGCCTTGGCCGCGAGGGCCGACGGGGAATAGAGTTCTGAATGCACCACGTCTTCAGCGGCTGTCGATCCTCCCTCCACCGCGGACTACAACTCCCAGAAGGGTCTGCCACAACCAGCCCCGCCTCACCGCGGAGCCCCGCCCACCCGGGGGTCGGAAGGCGGGGCAGCCGGCGCGTGCTGGCGTGCCGGTTCTGTGAGTCCAGCAGCCTCAGTTGATGCCCGGATCCTTTTCGCGCCGCAGGAGGTCCCAAAGTATTTAGGAGTGTCTCTATCTCCTGCGGGCCTATTAACTCCAGGGGCCACGTGAGAGAACGAGACCTAGCACATCCCTAGGGGGCTGATGTCCAAAATCTCCCTTTTCGAGCTTCCTAGGTTTTTGCGCTGCAGTCTGGTCACTTGCTGGGACCCTGTAGACACGCAGAGAAGTTGGATTGGCGCGCAGCCGCGCACACACATATATACAAGAGTTGTTGGTTTACCACGCCATCTCCCTCCTCTGCCAATGTGTTCTCAAAGTTGAAGGTAAGTCCCCGAAAATCGCACTAACATCCCCAACTCTTTCGTGCAGAAGAAGCAAGTGGTTTAAAAACAAACAAACAAAAACCCCAAACAACAACAACAAAAGCAATGTATTGCAATGGGATAAAGACCAGAAATCTTAAGATTCAAATTTAGGGCCCGGCGCAGTGGCGCAAGTGGTTAAAGGTCCTCGCCTTGCACGCCCGGGATCCCATATGGGCGCCGGTTCTAATCCCGGCAGCCCCGCTTCCCTTCCAGCTCCCTGCCTGTGGCCCAGGAAAGCAGTCAGGGACGGCCCAAGGCTTTGGGACCCTGCACCCGCGTGGGAGACCCAGAAGAGGCTCCTGCCTTCGGATTGGCATAGTATCGGCCCGTTGCGCTCACTTGGGGAGTGAATCATGGGACGGAAGATCTTCCTCTCTGTCCTCTCTGTATATCCGCCTTTCCAATGAAAAAATAATAAAAATAAATCTTTAAAAAAAAAAAAGATTCAAACTTAACAAATCGCTGACAGTGACTGCCTAACTCTTCTATAGCATTTTCCACACATAGCAAAGAGTATATTTGTATTTTATAAGCAAATGGTCTAGAGATTAAAAATGGCTTGCCCAAGGCCAGTCGTTTGAAGATATAGAATATCTAGAATCCAAACTAAGGTCTTATGTGCAAGTTGTGCTTTTTCATTTTTAAAGATTTATTTTTTTCTTCTAAATTTTTAAAAATTTTTATGGTACAATTTCATAGGGACTGGGATTTTCTCCATATTATTACAATAGTACAGTCCTTCATAAGCAGTCATAAGTTCTTCAGTCTGTTATTTAAGTGTGCCCCACCATTGCTGGTACAGACAATGTCATACAGTCCAGCATCCCATTGTGTAGATATGTCCAACTGTTTCATTGGGAATCCATGTTTGATTTGGAAGTAGAGATGCATACTGCATTGTATCTTCACATCTGGATATGATAGTCTCTATTAAGCCATACAATCCCTTAAATGAGAGAGCCTTGAAACAAAGTCAACAACAGGAATGAAGTTAAAACAAAAAATAAACAGCACCTTGGAGGCAAAACACTTGTCATTGAATAACCAATGTGTGGGTGAAGAAAAGAAAACACAAAAGCCTCCTGGGTAAAATGATGCCATCATGTGACCCATGAGCCAGTGATAAATTAGACAAGAGAAATGAAGCTATTTGGAAGAAATGCAAATGAAAACGAAAACATCAAAACACATGGGTTGCAGCAAAAATAGTATGGAAAGGGTTATTGATCTTACAGTTTGCATGATAGCTGCTTTATATCAGAGAGAACATATGGTGTTTGTCCTTTGGGGATTGACTTATTTTGCTGAGCATAAGGGTCTCTAGTTGGAACCATCTAGTTGCATATGGTATGATTTCATTCTTTGTAATGGCTGAGTAGTATTCCATGGAGTAGATGTACCACAGGTTTATTTAACCACTCTTTGGACGAGCATCTGGATTGTTTCCATGTCTTTGCTTTTGTAGATTGTGCTGCTGTGAATATAGGATTACAGATCCCCTTCTCATATGCAGATTTCATTTCCTTTGGCTGTATTCCTAGGAGCGGGATGAGTGGGTGGGTCATATGGTAGGTTTGTTTGGAGTTCTCTAAGCACTGTCCATACTGATTTCCACAGTGGATGTACTATCCTACATTCCCAGTAGCAGTGAAGGAGGGTACCTTTCTCCCCACATCCATGCTAGCAGGTGTTGTTAGCAGAATTCTGAACATAAGCCAATCTCATTGGAGTTAGGTGGGACCTCAGTGTGGTTTTTATTTCTATCTCCCTGATGGCTAGGGAACCTGAGCATCTTTTCATATGTCTGTTAGCTATTTGAATCTGTTGTTTTGAAAAATGTCTGTTCATTTCCTTCACCCATTTCTTCACAGGAATTTTTGTTTGTTTTTTGTCGTTGTTGTTTTGCTGTCCATGGGTTTCTGAAACTCTTTGTAAATCCTGAATATTAGTCCCCTGTCAGTTTTGTTGTGTGCAAAGATTTTCAACCAATTTGTTGTTTGTTTGTTTCTTCGCTTTGATAATGGTTTCCTTTGCTGTACAGGTACAAGGCTTTTTAGTTTGATGCAGTCCCAATTGTTCATTTTGTCTTTGACTGTCTGTGCTTTTGGAGTCTTTCTCAAGAAGTCTTCCCCCCCTACCAAAAAAAAGGAAAAAAAAAAGTCTTTTCCCATATCTAAGCCCCACTACACACTGCCTGTAGTGTTGAGGGCTTGACCAAAAACAAGGCAAACAGTAGACTGAATGTTGCCTTAAATGGAGATAAAAGTGATTTTGCTAATAGTGCCCTTACTTACAAACGTGCAGTTGCTCTTTGCGCTTGCTTTCAAAGTACAATCTCATGATAGCTTCAGCAACAGCAAAATTTTCCTTCTCTGCATTCCATGTTCAGATAATTGTAAGCTAACAACATGAAAGCAAAAAACGATAGTGAACTTTAAAACTCTGTCCTTCCACAAAAGCAATGAATAAACTGACAAAACAGCCAGAATGACCTTCTTTGGAAACTGTGAAGCTGATTAGAAAAAAAAAAAAAGAAAGAAAGAGAGAAAAGAAAAAGAAAAAAAAACTTGCGAATACTAAATGAAGAAAATGAATAAAAAGATTGCTGGGGTCAGAGGCACAGGTTAAGCCACAGCCTATAGTACTTGCACCTTGGTTCAAGTCTGGCTGTTCCATTTCCCATCCACCCTGCTAATGCTCCTGGGTAAACAAACAGTGGAAGATGGCCTAAATACTTGGGCCTCTACACACATGTGGGAAGCCTGGAAGAAGCTCCTGGCCCCTGGCCCCAACCCTGGCAGTTGCAGCCATTTGAAGGGGTTAAGCAGCAAATGGCCTCTGTCTTGCCCCACTCTCTCTTTCACCCTGCTTTTCAAGTCAATAAACTCTTAAAAATCCCTCCCCCATACTGCTGAGCTTTGTTAAGATAGCTCTGTGATCATCTCCCCTTCCTCAGGATGCTGACCCAAAGGACAGCAGCCTGCATCCTGATACAGGTTACTGGCACCAGAGAAGCAATGCAGACTTACTCTCAAGCTGGGATATCTTTGTGGGCAGGGGGTGGAGGAGGAGGTAAAGGAGGGAGGGGTGCAATAGCTCAATAACTAACTATTCACCTTGCAAGTATCAGGATCCCATCTGGGCACCACTTCATTTCCTGGCTGTTCCATTTTCCACCTAGCTCTCTACTTTTGTCCTGGAAAAGCACTCGAGGATGGCCCAAAGTCTTGGTACCCTGCACACTTGCGTGAGACCTGGAAAAAGCTCCTAGCTCCTGGATTCGAATTGGCTCAGCTCCAGCCATGTAAATGGGAGATCTTTCTCTCTGTATCTCTTTATCTCTGTAAATCTGACTGCCTTTCCAGTAAAAATAAATAATAATAAAAAGAATATCTATGTGTCTTGACCTTGTTGGTGGTTTCGGAGGGATGACTGACTTGCTTTAATTCGTTGGTTTTTTTTTTTTTTCTTTGTTTTAAAAATTTAGTTAGAGATGTGGGGAGAAGAAGAGAGATCCTCCCTCTGCTGGTTCATTCCCCAAATGTCTGAATGAAGCAAATATTCTGTCCGGGAACTCATTGCTTGTCTCGCATGTGAGTGGCAGGGGTCCAAATACTTGGACATTTCAGGATACAATCTGGATTAATCCAAATTCTTCTAAATCCTCCAATCTAGAATGTATAGCTCTTCCACAGTTTAATCCCCCAATCCTTGTTGACTTCTACGAAAATGTAAACCTTTTACCAAATATTTCAATGCAGTCTAGTCTGATAATAGCTGAATAAGATTTTAGCACACTGATTCCCTCTGATTACAATGATGAATTCTTTGCTTCCGCACAGCATACCAAAAATACTCCCTGTTGGCACTGGAGAGTAAATCAAAACAGCCAGCTGTTGGAAGACATGACATTTAGGAAATGGAAACAGCACTGCTGAGTTTTCCCATTTTCACAGATTTTAGCCGTAGTCTGCTAAAATCTGGTCTGAACAACAGAAGACAGAGTTTAGGACAATCACAAGCACTTTAATGTAGGGGGAATATTACACTTGATAGTCAGGAGGATCCCCCAAGTTTATGCCTAAACTCTACCCAATTTCTTCCTGACCTATAAATGTTATGCATGTGGAAGAAACACTAAGTAGCCCAGTTAAACACAAGAGATCCAAGCTGTTATTTTAGCTGCCTCCCAAGAGCAAATCTTTTAAACTCTGAGTTCTGTATGAGTCTGTTTTCGGTTGATATAACAAAACATGTAAGGCAGAATAACGTAAACATGAAAGAGATTTACTTATCTCATAAGTTCAGAGGCAGGAAGTCCAGAATCAAGTGGCCCCATCCGTTTTGCCCCCAGTGATGGCCTTCTGGCCATATCACAAGAGAGCAGATGACATCCTGGTCTCATGTGGGCACAA